AGTAGCTGGGATTACAGGCACGTGCCACCATGCCCAGCTAATTTTTTGTATTTTTAGTAGAGACGGGGTTTCACCATGTAGACCAGGACGGTCTCGATCTCTTGACCTCGTGATCCACCTGCCTCGGCCTCCCAAAGTGCTGGGATTACAGGCATGAGCCACCATGCCCGGCCCTCACCTAATTTATTTTTAGTAGAGGATGGGGTCTTGCCATGTTGCCCAGTCCAGGGTGACCTCAAGCAATCTTCCTACCTTGGCCTCCCAAAGCACGGGGATTACAGATATGAGCCACTGTGCCAGGCCAGAATATTTTACTTTTAACACAGTAAATATTCCTTTATAATCCCAACATATGATCTTCCCTTCCCCAGAAAGAATAAGTACCTTTGCTTTGAAATCTATTACAAATCTTCTGCTTTGGGCACATTTTAATTAGGGAATGGATATTAGACAGGGTATCCATTCATTTCTAGGAAAATCTAGGGTTCTGTGCATTTTTGAGTCTAAAATAAATGTCATGTCATCGGAACATTACCTGAGGATGTTTTGCTGTTGGTTGAAGACACAAGGCTAGCAAGGTTAACAACCTCTCCCGATGTGAAGATGAATGGAGCAGCCATAGTCACAGGATTAGTCACAAGGTTGGCTCTCTCTGGATTAGCATTCACCTGATTCTGCATTGCTTCCTACCAAACAAGGCAGGATATTTCAAAGTCAGAATACTTATTAGCTTTTTTATTTTATTTTTTTTCTTTTATTTATTTATTTTAAAAGAGACGGGGTTTCGCTATGTTGCCCAGGCTGGAATGCAGTGGCTATTCACAGGCACGATCCCACTACTGATCAGCACGGGAGTTTTGACCTGCTCCGTTTCCGACCTGGGCTGGTTCACCCCTCCTTAGGCAACCTGGTGGTCCCCCACTCCCGGGAAGTCACCATATTGATGCCGAACTTAGTGCGGACACGCGACTGGCATAGCGCACTATAGCCCAGAACTCCTGGACTCAAGAGATCCTCTAGCCTCAGCCTCCCAAATAGCTGGGACTACAGGCACGTGCCACCATGTCCGGCTTATTTTATTTTTTTAAAACAGAGTCTCACTCAGTGGCCCAGGCCGGAGTGCAGTGGCGTGATCTCAGCTCACTGCAACCTCTGCCTCCTGGGTTCAAACAATTCTCATGCCTCAGCCTCCCGAGTAGCTGCGATTACAGGCGTGTGCCACCACACCCAGCTAATTTTTTGTATTTTTAGTAGAGATGGGGTTTTGCCATGTTGCCCAGCCTGGTCTCAAACCCCTGAGCTCAGGCGATCTACCCACCTTGGCCTCCCAAAGTGCTGGCATTACAGGCATGAGCCACCGTGCCCAGCCCAACAACACTTATTAGCTTTAATTACACAGTTACTGAACAGCATACTTCACTCCCACCCCAATGCTCCATCAAGCAGAACTACTTCCTACATACAGTGTCCCAGGGAGCTCAGAGTTCTCATTAAGACTACCATTTTAGCCGGGCGCGGTGGCTCACGCCTGTAATCCCAGCACTTTGGGAGGCCAAGGCGGGTGGATCACGAGGCCAAGAGATCGAGACCATCCTGGTCAACATAGTGAAACCCCGTCTCTACTAAAAATACAAAAAATCAGCTGGGCATGGTGGCACATGCCTGTAATCCCAGCTACTCAGGAGGCTGAGGCAGGA